CAGAGAAAATACGGTAGGAAAAAAAAGAAGAAAAAGGGAGATATCCATGTTCTTTGTAATCTTTGCGTAGTCAAATGCAAATGCACATGAGAGTGAGAGGTCAATTGACGGATGATCTGTACGTGACCTCTGATGAAATGTACGTGTTTTGTTTTGTGTTTGTTTGTATTTTTATGTGTGTGCATGTGTGCGTGTTGGGACACGTTTGTGGTTGCACCAAAAATCTCCTCTTCGAGTCTGACTTTACATTGAAGCAAACATGCCAGGAATGAGTGTCGAGGTTGTCCAAGTTCCGTTTGTCTGAATTGCTAATTCAAGGGAAAGCATGATTTGAGGGCACAAGGATGGAAAAAAAAACAGAGCGTAAAACGAACTCGTGCTAGGCTTCAATCAAGTCAAAGGAATTCATCAAAAATTTTCAAACTCTTTAAGCTGAAATTGAACTGACTTAAGTTTTGATTCATCGTGTTATTGAAAGAGATATATAAAATGAAACGGGCAGAAATGCACCAAATCTATGTATCTCAGTCTCATCTGATGAAAGCAAAAAGCAGAGGTGTACTGGTATTCACTAGCAACCAGTCATAAAAAATACAAAATTTTCATGGCGTTTTACGTTTAAGGTCATAGCAGATTATGTCAGGAATAGCTCATAAAAATTAAATACGTGATTCGCTCAGATTTTGATTTTAGCGTTATTCCCTATTTAATATAAATACATTTCTCAGTGACTGCCCAGAGAACTATCCAAATTAAATCGTGCTATTCTCAACTGAGTTGTAATTACTATTGACGACCCCTGGATCTGTCAACCCTTACAGAGCAATATCTTGCAACTGGTAGACAATAACAAATGTCCACACTTTGTGGTTAATATTTCCTCACAACCAGCCTCATTGAGCTCTTTCTTCTACACACATTGGTAACAGCAATTAGACAGACACATTAGCCATTTCGTTTGTTTCATTCTCGAGGGGAGACAAACCCTAATCCACGATTTTCTGTTAGACTCCTCTGGGCTACATAAGGGTAACTCGGTGCCGTGTACCAAACCGCTTATTGTCTACAGTGTGCCAATGCGCTAATACCCAAGGGTGACCAATTACTTTCGTACTACTTGTCCGTTGCAGCAAGCCGCGTCTTGTGCTTCCTAGTTTGTATTTATTAGGTGTGTGTAAAAAGCACCATTCGAGCAAAAGAAAATTTTGTGTTTCGGAACTACGGAGGGACGATACGGCGATTTTGGTCGTCTCGCTTACTCCTAGTCACACCTATCAACTAGCAAGTACGCCAAATTTACTAACATCCAAAAGCGCTTCTCTATTTCGAATGCGTAAATCCCACCAGGCAATCTCTGATGAATTATTCGCATCTGCAGGCACACACACATCGAAACTCTGATCGCTCTCTGGGGATGTTTGGCTGCAATCACAAGCAAGCACACAGACAAATATGCATACACAGCGGCAAATTATACAAACACGCCAGATATATTGGAATTTGGAATTCAAAATCAAAACTCTCATGCTCTCCGGTCACATCGAGTTGCACCAATGCTTTGGATGTGTTTCCCCGGGGTTCGTGAGAGATATGTCAGTGAAGTTGGGCGGTCACTTGATTCCGTTAAGTTGAATCTGGGCTCTGATTTGAACAGTTACCGGTTTGCCAGAGGATGAGTGCGCATTCTAATCAGCTCCGTTGGGACCGAAAAACACCAGCCGTAGCAACAGCATCTGCAGCAACGGCCGCACCACTCTGTAACCCAGGCAATTCAATAGAACCAAAAACCAAGGAGGCATTTTATGTGGTATAAGCTTGCTTAATTATATGAGAAACCACCATCAGCGAACGAACCCACATTTGTCAAAATTGACGGGAAGGAAGAGGCATGTTCAGAATCGTGCCCGAGATCAGTAGTCTCAACTAACCCGAATTTTTCTCTTCCGGTATCCTCGCGGTAATTTTAAAAGTGATTGAAAATTTGTTTACGCTTGTTCTGTAAGCTTTTGAATCGCTTGAATCGCTTTGAGCGAAGGAGTTGTAATAATTAGAAACTGTTGTCTATTTAGACCGTAATGTGAACACATGTTGTGGCTACCAAAGATAAATCTGAGCGTATTGGTATGTTCGGTGGAGTGAACAATCACGCTCACGTCGACAGGTGAGATGGTGGCTCACACCGTAAACGGAAACGTACCGTGACCTAGAATAGCAGATTGTGACTGTGTTCCTGAGACACCAATCGATGGGGAGTTGTAGCTTATTTCGTCTACAGGACCACGCACCATAGGGATCAAACCGGTTTGATTCGGGAATAGTGCGGTTGTTGGAAGCGGTGGATTCTGTAGTAAACCTGTATTGATCCGCGGACCCCGTGGTTGAGATAAGAGGTTGGCGACATGCGATGCTTGTGCACGGTAAGGCAATAAATTCGCCTGATTAACCGACTGCGAATCATTGGGCATTGAAATGGAGAAATTGATCGCATGCAATGGATTTTGTAACAAAAGGTTTGAATGAACGAGTGGTGGTGCATTGGAAAGGGCACTTTGAATGGCCATCGCAAATGATGCCGGGTTGTTCAGGCGACTAAGGACGTTGAAATTGTTTGCATTCGATAAGAGACCTGGTCCGACAGGAGCAGCACTCGTAGAACGTGGATTGCCTGGACTGCCCGCATTCAACGCCAGTCCCAGAAGCGGAGCTACTGGATCCGCAGCCAACAGACAACCACTAGTTTTCTTCACGCACTGATTGTTTGAATGACGAAAAGTGTCGGTCTGTGTTTCAATGGAACCATCGGATCCGTGCGGATTGCCATCATTCAAGGATTTTGAGGTTCTGGACTTCGAAGAGCTAATTTTGAGGAAAGACGCATTCATGAATAACAAGAAACACATTTTTGCATACGTGACAGTATGTCGTCTTATGAAAGTGTTTATGAATAACGAAATCACCGAACATGAATACAACTGAAACGCATTTTATGACGATAATTGTAGACCGGATATCTCACTAAATATATCGAGCTTACTCATAAGTTTTGAACCCTCACGTTTGCTTCTCGATCTGTTTCAGTTTAACTTCAAACCTAATCTCCATTAAAGTAACGCGTCTGTTGCTGTATGTATTCTGCAGGGATATTGCTGCAGTTATTGCAACGTGGTAAAAGCTGAGAATCAAATATAATTCTACATAACTATGGGAAGACAAATGAAGGGACCACGTGAAAAGCGATCAGGTTTGTTAGAAGTATAAAAGAAACGAGGATTGCTGTTACCGGAAGGATGATGCACAACACTGCTTGATAGATTTGCGACGAATTTTGTTGTGTAAACTAGAGGTAGTTTTATCTTCACAAAGTTAAAGTTTCTTTTTGAAGAGGAATATGTCTAGATACAAGTGAATTATGCAAGTAAAAATCGCCTAAATTTTAGTCCACTCGGTTGCGATTTTAATTAAAACAAAATAACAGAGATAGAAAGAGTTAGGATTGGAAGAGGAAAACAATAAATTCCAACTGGTAGTGAAATTGATTTACTCAAAATTTTACTCGGTTTTCCAGCTCAACCTTTGGCGTGGGATATTTTTAGAAACGCGAAATACTATCATCGACTGTACCAATTATATTATTTCATTACCCTTCCCCTGCACGCAAGGGAAGGTGATTATATGGTACCTTCCTACATAGGTCACAAACTAGGCGTTATTCTTAGCGTGTTAAGAAATACCTGCCAGAATAAATAGCCCATGGAAAATAGAATATCTTTGACAGCGGTCATTTCCTCCGGTTCACCTTCGCTGTATATACCCTTTGCTCATAGTTTACTAGCACCAATTCATTTGAATAGGCTCTTCAACTGGCATGGCCTCGTGGAATACAAGGTCAATTGAACTACGTAGACATCACATAGAGGAATCGGCGGTGTGTACGCAATTCAAGTTTACGCTGGTGTACACTGCATTGCCCAACGAGCCACACAGTGCTGCTTAAATGACACAGTCATGGTTTACATGAAATTTGCGTTAATCAATGGCTTCTGTTTGGGACTTATGATCAACAGGAGAATGCATACAACTCTCAAACACGACGTAGTACTCTCAGTCCTTAGCAACAAAATCCATAAATTTACCAGGTTTATGTTTCTCATTTGTCAAATGTTGGTGAGCAAATAGATTTCATTTGTTTGCTGGTTTCCACGCAAAAATAAAAAGCGTGTGGTAAACATACCTGCTTTGGTCATCAACCGGCTTTTGACGATCGGCTAACTTGACCTCTAACGGACCTTTTCCGCCGTCTAATTTGATTTGAGCAGTACGGATTCCTTCGATTGCGCGTTGAGCATCCTCGGCTCTCACGAATCGCACAAACCCGGCACCTTCAGAGAGGAGATCAGGGGAAATTTCTCAATTCTACATTTTACTTTTGACTGAAAAAAATTACCATATGATTCCATCCAACAGAATTGAAAAAGACAAGCTATTACAAATGAATTCTGTATTTTATTAAACGTTCACGTGTGAATAGATAATATGATGTTCCTAATGTCCCTAAAATTCGTCCGGTTTGCTTTCAGTATCTTTTCCTGCAGCATGACTGACCAGCAGCCAGGATGATTAACGAAAAAGTATCTCCTGCTAGCCAGCGCTGAGAAAAGTGCGCAAAATGCTACTACGAGGAATGCTGTTTGCCCTTGCATTGTGGGGTAAACTTTACATCGATCAAAGATTGTTCGCGTTTTTTGGTAAAACATGATCCATTTGCGTGTAGGGCTGAGTTAAAAAAACGTGAAAGACGAATATGCACCGGAACGGAAATCCGAAGTCAACTGAAAGAGTACTCGATGGAAAACTCGGGTTATTCGGCGAAGGAAATCAAAACAACGAATTTGCAAGTCAGAGAGGAGTGCAAATGGGAGGCATTCCACGGAAGAAAGGGGAGACTAACTTGTTGGCAAGTTGACCAATAGCATAGATCAAATTTAAACGTTCTTAATGCAAGTTCTTCAGTTGCGTGTTACATTTTATCCGATTCAGTACAATGAACTACTCTGAAATATGTTTCGGTCCATGTGTTACCATACCCGTCGAACAAGGGCTCCACTTTGGCGTATTTCACTTACTACCTCGAACCACATGATAGATGTCAAGTGTATTTCAAAACCAACTAAAGTCGCAGTACAGTTACTCCTAATCCTATATTTTTATCGAGCTGACCTTTACCGATGCCATTCTTGGGAATCATTGTTTTGATGTAAATAAAATTGTAAAGGCTTGTTTCTATTTTTTCGGTGTGAATTCACAGAAACAAAGCCAGTGTGTTGGCCGTTGGAGACCCTGCATGGACTCCAGGAGAGTACGCACTGTGCATTACCTAGAATGAGAGTGAAGCAATTGTTCAGTGCGTGTTTAGCCATCTTACAGCATTCCACAAAACTATATTTCTTAGTTCTTTTGGTTCATTGGGTTGACCAACTGATTTCACATCAAACGTGTAGACACAAGTGCATGTTCGAGTCCGGAAAAGAATTAATCTACTCTTCGCGGTAACTCTTACAAGAACCTTCCAATTATTGTTCATTCTAATTTATCTGTGTATTTATTTTACTGTATGCCGGAGAAATATACATTTAGTCGTATTACAGTAGAAGGCTTGCGAGGTTTTGCACAAGCATAGTTTACTGGTACAAGTCAAGCAAAACATATTCAAAAAATACTGGAAAGCAGAATGTTCAACTGGCATTACGGATAAGCAACAGTGGATTGCTGTATTGTGTATGGGAACTTATTTCCGGAACTGGAGAGAAGTCTGACCAAGCAAACAACCAGTGAGTGCATTTTTGTTACCAGCACATCAGTCAGCAGAGCTAATTATCGCAACTGTCATTTTTTCACTCAGTAATTATATCCTGTTTAGTTTGGCTTGTAAAACAAAACTATGGAAGTTGCTCCAAAAGAGTCCGCTAGACTACATGCATCATTATCTTAGCCTCAGAGTTTGTAATACCTAAAACTCTCTTCCACTTCAAGTTGTTTGTGCACCAACCATCGATTCATTCAAGTCACGACTCGATAAACCATTGAAACACCTAACTTTTCAGCAACTATAAGTGAATGTTATAATTTGCTATTTAATTGTACTGCCAACCGAACGTGGTGTATACAGATCCTATGGGATTGAATAACCATCAGGTTTGTAATGTACCCACAATAAAAACTTGAATTTGAATTCGGGTAGTATCTATGTCACTTCGGCATGTAACAGTTCGAAAACAATTGGGCAGCAAAGGATGAAAGTGTGACGCCAACTCATCTAACAGAGAGTAAAGCAAAGGTTTCAACGATTTTATCCATGAAATCGGTGGACTAGCTTACACAAATTCATTTGGTTATCAGCACCGTTTTAGTTCCTACCGCCTACCACTGGGTCATTGATCCGAAAAGCTCAAGGATAATCCAACGCATCTAAATACTCTGAGTAGTTAGACTTCCAAAATTCAACAAATTTGAAGCGCTCTGAGCTCATACAACGACAATAAAATTGCCAATTCTAAGAAAATCTTTCAATGTGGAGACTACAGGACTACAGGAGTCGATTGATCAGAGGAGGCCTCTCCCACCATCCAAATAAAAGCCTGAAAAGTAAATGGTTGATTTTGACCATATTTAACGAAGCAAGACCATTGGTGTTCTCTTTTTCATATCTTATTGGGCCAGCATGCCTGTAGATGTTCACAATCTCCACCCGCCCTTTCCGCACCGCTAATGACAGACTCACTCCCCCACTCAATTCCACTAATTCTGCAGCCTGTGCATTGCTGCAGTAAGATGTTAAAGGATCATGATGATGATGTTAATGATTTGCATGTTTTTTCTCGAATTCGTATTAAAATAATCATTTTCAAAACGCGTATTTGTACCAAATTTACTTGAGGTCAGTACAATCGCTAGTAATCGGATGGGTCAAACAACTTGTGATATATCTTCTATAAATTCCACATTTGGTAGCAATATTGGTCAATGTGTTCAAGTCGGGAGCACCACAATTTTCATATAATCAAGAAAAGGAAAAACTGTTTTATTGATATTTTATCTTTTTTCACTTCATATGGAAACAACTTTATGAGTCTGGAAACCACTCTGCTTCATGATAAGGATTATTTACGCTGGAAATAGTTGCAGTTATTTACCATTTTCTAAACTAGCTTTAACCAATCCATTTTTATGTTTCCCGACTGCGGTCATAGTAGGCCATTATAGTAAACCTACAACTATGTTTTCTGAAGGATAAACGGCAACTATCAACCGTTTCTAACAAAAAAAATTAAATTTGTCAAAAACAACGACAATACCGGACTCTCTGTGAGCGAATCTATAATTGCAATACTGGTAGTATCAAATCTCTGTAGGCATTACACATTTATCTAGATTTGTAACGCGTTAACTTCAGTAGAGTGTTTTCGTCCAAGTGATCGCTAAAGCCAGCCATGCTATGAACAAACTCCCGCGGCATGAGCCCCTTGAGATGTGTGACTGTATTAGTTATTCTGAATTTCACAATCCATCGGGTAAATGGCAAACATTCCGATCGGCTGAAAAAGGCAGTGTACCTAATAAGCGCCTGTGTTATCCGACTTACTTCCGAACGGGAATGGTTTGATTAAGACAAACCCGATTCCGGTTTATGTCCGCAACGCTTAGGGACAACAACAACAACAACAACAACCGTAGTGCAAAAAGTAGAGACGGAGTGCATGAAGTTCAACAAGGTGCAACCCAAACCAGGCGCACACATGTGTATTTGGGAAGGCAAATGTGTTCTATTTGAATGTCGTAATAACTAGACTTTTCTGAATGGTACGTTTTTGAAATTGAAACTGTTTTAGGTTATTAAAGGTTAGAAAATCAACGAGGTCCGTTCGCCCTTGAATCTATTTCCAAATCAAGTTGATCTTTTCAGTGGTCGTCTGATGAGGAGAGACTGTAAAGCAAAATTTTCTAAATGGCATTTTTGCTAGAAATGATTTTTTTCAAGTTTATTTGAAAATATTTAGGAATCCCTTAACCCATAGTTTAAGAAACACAATTTTGAACAGGACAAAATAAAAAGAACGTTCACAATAATACGCTTCGCATATGAGCTCCTCTAGCCTAGCATACTTCATTGGTACTTGGAACCAACATTGGACGTCAAGTAGGTCAGGATGGCGGAAGTGTTTGCGGATGACTTGGACATTTACTTATCAAATGGAACTTCAGGTAAGTAAACGCAGACAAAAAACTGGGAACATTTTCCTGGAATGTTCCCTCTTATACTGGACAGATGGTGAGTGGTCCAGTCAAACTGGCCTTCGGGTCGTCCCCTCTCGAGCAAGGTCAAATTATTTGGTGCAAACCGGCTGCAGAAGGACAATGGTAGCTGTGCCATTGCCATGCGGTAAAGTAATATGTAAAACGAAAACAATTCTCAACAGCATTCTTCCTGGTTAATAAAAGTTTAAACATTTAGTTGTGAACGTACACCCTGATGGCAACATTCTATAATCTATCGAAAGCTGTAACAATTTACTTATCTTTCATAGAGTGCACTCGGATTCCGTTTGCGCTATTCGAATAATGAAGCATGTTATTAACTTTTGGGAACTTTCAAGCACGAAACTGTTTTATCTTCTATCTAGTTATCTTATTTATTTTAAACTGGCACACGCCCAATGTGTAATTAGGACTACCTTCCTCGAAGCGCGAAGAACTTTTCACAAACTCGGAGGGAATTTTGAATGTACTAATTAAATCGGTTTGGTATTTTACAGCTTTTTTCTTTAGTTCGTCTCATCAGATAACTAAAGAAATAAAGTGGTTTCACATAACCTTGACTTATACACTCAATCTATCATATAGGCATGTATATTGAAAACCTACACGGTGGATGTATTTTAGGTTCATTCTTGTTCGGTGCCTATTCTCAGTGTCATGATTATTCGGAAGTGAAACCAAACGGTTTCAGTTGTTGTCGGAATCAAAGGTTTAAGGTAACGATCTTTTTCACCGCAAGCTGCACATATTTATATTCAGATATCTCAAATCGAGTTTACCTTTGTAGTTCGCATCAATTATTCCTTTTTGATCAATCTCTATGGAATCATGAAGTTTCAAATTCAAACTGACCCACGGATTGTTTATCCAAACTCTGCTCTGAAAGACACTTGAGAGCTAGAATTGTATTCACATTTCCGGTTCAAAATGGATGAATGGATGGGAAAACTTCAAATACAGTGCTAACAAACCGCAATAGAGATGAGACATTTATTGCCCAACACATAGTGGTCCCCCTTCTTCCCTCTCCAATAGCCACTGTGTGGTGCAAGTAACCGTTATGGTTCAACATGGGGGTGGGCTGGTGGTAGACCCTAGAATCACATACTTTGGATGGATTTTTCATTTCGGTTACCGAAAAAGTATTCGTCTACAGGATTCCAGTTACTGCCTTCCCCACAATGTGTGCTTCAATCCGCATTAGAAGAAATTTTTTTGCAAGCCGTTTCAGATTCGAATTTGTTTTGAGCATGGAGATGAACAGCATGTTGGGCACTGTATAATCACACTATGAAGGCGTAGCAGTATACACCAGTAAGGCAAACTGGTTACCAGTACACAACCAGAATAAGTGTCAAAGTTATACATAAAGGTTTATTAATAATAAGTAATAGCCATTCGTTCACTATGAACTAAAATATTTTATTCTCCAGCTGGTTTTCTTATTTATACTTTACTTAATACTACCACGTAACGTCTTGAATTTGGATTCGTGCAACTTCTGTGGAATTGTCCTCTACGGACATACGAAATTCCTTTAATGGATTTGCAATGATTACATTAAACTTTGCCGGGTTTTCGAGCGTTTTGCGTTCCACACTAAGTAGCTTATGGTCACAATCTTTGATCAGATAACCCCAAATTCAAATTGCATGCAGTTACGTTGTAGCACCATGAACTGTCTCCATATAGACATATGTAGCCTTATTGTTGTCGCTCGGTTTACATACACTGGAAATTTGTTGATCGGCAAAATCGATAACGACGTGCAATGCCCACATTGAATTGGGTCAAGTTGATTGTTTGTCATCGATCAACAAATTGCCCATTTCCCATCCTGCCCAGAGGTGAGTCATCTAATTACTTTTCTCTCTGTCCCGTTCGAAACAACCCTGTGCTTGACCCCATTTCCCCCGGAATGTCGATTACACTAAATGGCAAGTCAAATGAATAGAATGAAAAGCGAGGGTACGAGGGTGGGGTATAGTTGGAAATCACGAAGACAAGTTCCGTCCAACAAACAACCTATTCGTTCACGACTGTACTGAAGGTCAACATTCTTACTTGTGCCATGCTGTTCAGGCGTTTACCATCGGACTGTTTAGACACTAATGACAAACACACACGATTATGATTTCCCCCCAAATTTTTCCAATGAATAATGAACAAACGAGGCTGGCTTCCCTCGCTTTACTTTATTTTAGTATAAACTGAAAGGTGCTAACTCAAATCTTGATCGCGATTCGTAACTATGCAAAAACATTTCAGACTTTGCTTGGGCCAGAGAACAACCGGAAAAGCTCATGAGGTTAAATCCATTAGGACAATTTTGTTGTCCTCACACAGGTAACCCCGACTGTTCATACCCAGCATTCATGCACTTTGCTCGGATTTACCTTGACCGGTTAGATTGGTGCAGTCTAACACGAAGTGATCAACCGATCAGTTAGTTGCTTCTGATGCTTTTGGATATCATATATAATCATCAGAAAAATCACCAATGCATCTTGATAGGCCTTTGGTGCAAGTACAAATAGAGTGTTGTTTGAAGCGAGTGAATACAGATCATTCAGGGCAATCTTTCAATCTACTTACAACAGATTTTTGCAATAAAATATACTTGGCAGAATCAAATTGACACTAAAAAAACACAAAGTTATCAAAGTTACTGAACGCGAAAATTGGGTTGCTCTAAATTTAATTGTCTCTGTAATTTTGCTGAAAGCCCAAATGATAAACGATTAGAATGGTTGTTGACAATCCGTTACACTGCAGACAGTTCGTAAAGTGCAAAGAGACAAGAATGATGTTCACGTAAATTAGAAACACCACATGTGAGATATAATGGAAAGAAATTCATTTCACTGAATTTTCTAAATCTTATCGATCCCAGTTAGTCAGACAACTTGAATAGAGTATCCATATCAATCAAACAACACTGATTGACGTTGACAACTCAAATACAATAACTATGCCTCATTGTGCAGATTGAGGGTCCGAAAATGCTTTCAAAATACAGTGTGTGTGTGTGTGTGTGATACAGTATGCATTTTACTATATAATGCGGTTTTCGATTGCTTCACAAATGACAAATGAAACTGATTGGTAAGTGGCGGGTTGATAAGAATCCAGAAGAAATTTGAGCGAAACTAAAATGGATATAGCCTCGTTTGAGGCAACTACGATTGTTTATCACCTAAAGTATATTGAGCAGCTGTTCGGAAGCCGGACTCAGTTCATCTGTAACATGAGATAAATGAAACCATAAATCACGGTGTTTATCCGATGATATTCTTTTGATAAAATTGACATTGAACTTGATTTACGTAGTTTATTAAATGATTCTGGTCACCATTTATTTGGTTTTCATTTGACATCAATCAATACATATATTTATTGCGGTTTGGGGAACATAAAATGGAGATAACTAACCGGTGCAAAAGTTGTTCGATCGCTTGGTCATTACAATGGCAGTGGCTATTTGTCCATACGGTTGGAATATTTTCTTCAAATCTTCTACGTTACCAGCAGTCCATGTTTCCGGGATATTGGTGATATAAACATTGTGTGGATCCTTTTCTGACTCCTGGGTTTGGGTTTGAATGGGAATGAAAACAGGCGTGTATCAACACTTGGAAAATTCATAACCATGTTAACTGTCACAAAAAGTAACGAATGATACCTACGGTTTACCAACGGCTGTTTCAGTTATTCTCATCTGTTGAGTCGTCAAGCCCCAGATTAGTGAG